GTGCTTCGTGCACAGTCATTTGTTCCTTGATAACAGAGATGTGACTTGGATGTGCTTTGGGCACATCTTACAGAAAGCCGAATACGATATCTTTACATCAGGATAGTCTGCCACAAACCGTTCATGTGTGTTACCAAGATAAATCGTTCAAGATTCTTGTTTGTTTCTTCTCGCCATTTGATTTTGTGATATCCGTTTTTCCAGGCAAACACCTACAGATCTCACCCTTCTCCAAAAAAGAAGTGATTTGATTTTGTAGTTTTATCTTCATGTGTGTCAACCGTTGCCGCTTAGATGTAATGAACAAATGGCGTGTTATGCCTGTAGCCTTCGTTAGGTATCTAATACATCTATATTTCTTCACAATACGGCCAATTACAACTGTGTTGATGAATGATCTTTGCTTCTGTGAAGTGTTTTCCATGTGGGCAGCTCTAATTTTTTACACCAATGAGTTTCCAGTCTGCAGCTGACGGACCACTGACCACTGATTTGGGCAATGAACGGGCGGATAATCCCAGACTTTCTGATGTCATGTAATGTCTTGGACTTGGGAGAAAGAACCTCTTTGTTGTCCGAAGTACATCCAGGTACCATTTTGTTTTTGCGCTTTAACAGTCGTTCATATCGATTTTGGAAACGCCTTGAACTTTTCTGATGGCTTTTAAGTTGAGATTTCAATTTACCAATTTCATTTCTTGTCCGTGCCGGTGCCTTGGATCGTCGCATATAAGTCGGAGATCTCACAGGGAATGGAAGTTGCACAAGCAAGCGGTTTGTCCCCCATGATCTTGTCTGCGGAGATTTCAGAGTGGATGAAGTTGCAGACTGAGATGTGCTGGTGACTTCAGCTGATAGGGTAACATTACTGGACTGAAGTGACCCATGTGATGAAGTTGGTTCCACAACACTGACTCCATTTGCAACTGCCTGCTTGCGCTTCTGCTTTTTCAACCTGTACCTCGTGGAGTACTTTTTATCTATGAGACGACGAGCTTTTAACTTCGCCTTTGACAGCATGCCAACAGGAACCCTATATTTGGCTTGTCGGAGCCTTTCCTTTTCCATATAATTCATGTCATTTTGCTTCTTGCGATCCTGGTAAGCTTATTGAATCTCTGCATGTGACTTGCCCATGATTGGCCTGAAATGAACGGAAATGAAATTGGTGCATGTACTTCAAATTAGTGATGGGAACAGCTGACAAAACTTTTGCAAAAGAAGCAAGGTATGCCTTCCTTTCAGTGCAAATGAAAGATGCCATTTAGGTAGTTAAGATTAACACGGATACTTACCAAGCGTTGCCAAATTGTGTCTTGTTATTTCTATTGACAGCCGGAAGTGTGCTAGCAGACGACATCTCATCAAATCAATCTGCTGCCGAAACTGTATAACGCGCAAAATTCAAATTTTCCGATTTTGGTCAGGTTGTAACGTATCTGGTTTGACTAATAAAGAAATGTAAAAAATATTAAATGGTCCAGTGATCAGATATCTTTCTATGTTTAAAATAGGGCCAATGGTATGTGTAGTTATTCATTACATCCATTCGGTAACAGGTGGCTCTATATTTGGTATTGTGGTAATGTATCTGGTCAAAATCTCAAGTATCTTTCCTTTTCTCAGCAATACATTGGCCACCAGTGCTTTTAACCGCAAGCTAAATACCCAAGTGCTATTGCAACGATCTAGTCAATATTATAACCTACGCAAACCCCCTATCAGCAATATCCGAATGTTTTCATGTATTTCTAAACAGGAGTCTCAAAAAGAGAAACGTATCTGGTCGGGTATTTTAAGACATAGAAATTGAAGTGAAAGAATTCCAAACTTCGCGGATTTGCGGCTCAATTGTTCATAAGACTTATTTATTGCAATGTTTATCCAAATCTAGGTACTTGGAGTCACAGATAATCAGTAAAATAATCCCACCAGGGTGTTTACACTGTGATACATGTAACCGGCGACACCATACATAATGAGAAATAAGGTTACGTTCGGTCATCATATAGCTTTCATCATGAATACAGATGGGTTTTGATGTGCTCCTAATATATGGGCTACAATACACATTTTAAGAACAATTTGCCATGCATAACTCAGCGTGCATTTTTTTTTTTGACACAAAGACACCAAATTATGTAAATATTCAAACTTAGTGGAGAATGAACCATATGCCCAAATATGGGAATTGTTGACATACGCATTAACAACATGCGCCTGCAGTTGTGTTTGCAAACAAAACAGCATCGACGCTCAAGATCCTTTTGGACCCTATTGAAATTCAAGCGCCATGTTGTTAGTACGAAGGGCACCTATAAGAAAATTTGAAATGTCACATTAGCGCCGCGCTTTGACGCGGTCCCGGCTGTGCAATCAAAATAGTTCGGTTTCCTTGATCTATCAGCTGGAATTTAAACCATTTTGGAAGAGGGAAATCAGAGTGTTCGCCAAAGACATTCATGTTAACTGTACCACCCTATACTGAAGACGTGAAAATCAACAAACTCAAGTCTGCTTGCATATCAGTGACAGCTTCGAACGATCGAAGGGCAAGGTCGCCACCGGAATAAGAAAAGACAACCTTGATCTACTCGCAGCGTTTTACGCTAGAGATAGGGAATGTTATTGTTCACATTTGGGATGTTTGGGGCCATAAAATCAGAAGTCAGGCACACTTCCACGGAGTTTTCGAATGAGTTTTATCGGAACTGTTCACATAAAGTGATTTGGTCGTGCTGTCGTGTACGTTCATTCATGAACAACACCTCCCGAAACAGCGCCACAAAATACGCTTCGAAGGGGACACTGATGGCACAACCGGATCATCCCAAGCAAGTCCCGGTACCTGTCCAGATAGTCTAAACAGACGTCATTTCACCACGCTTATCCTTTTACGTTAAATCAAATTGAAAGTTGCGAAATTGGTCGGGTGCGTCACGCTCATGGGGGCCCTCGCTCTATTGATCGGTAGTCGTACATTGTAAATTGATATAGCTCGATTATATATAATGTCTGAAGAAGCTCGATGCATAACTTATATAGAATGCAAACCGAATTTGATGCGTGTCACCATCTTGTTTGGTTTAATAAAGTGTTTGTAAATATCTCTCGTTCTCATGAATTTCTTCAGTTCTGCCTTGCAATCGCAAAATGAATGACGTCTAGCAATGTTTTATGAATGGAAAATATAGTCCCGGTGTGACAGAGGTCACGCGGTTATCCAATCAAAACGAATAAAACGAAGTCAACCTTGTACGACACACGTGTGACGTACGGATTTAGTATCTTACCACCTGTATCTTCATCACGTGGGTAGTAAATCAGCGTAATGTCATTGTGTATATCAGCATTATATCATTATGTATATCAGCATTATATAATTGTGTATATCAGCATTATATCATTGTGTATATCAGCATTATATCATTATGTATATCAGCATTATATCATTGTGTTTTTTCAGCATTATATCATTGTGTATATCAGCATTATATCATTGTGTTTATCAGCATTATATCATTATGTATATCAGCATTATATCATTGTGTATATAAGCAATATATCATTATGTATATCAGCATTATATCATTGTGTTTATCAGCATTATATCATTGTGTATATCAGCATTATATCATTATGTATATCAGCATTATATCATTATGTATATCAGCATTATATCGTTGTGTATATCAGCTTTATATCATTGTGTTTATCAGCATTATATCATTGTGTATATCAGCATTATATCATTGTGTATATCAGCGTTATATCATTGAGTATATCAGCATTATATCATTATGTATATCAGCATTATATCATTATGTATATCAGCATTATATCATTATGTATATCAGCTTTATATCGTTGTGTATATAAGCTTTATATCATTGTGTATATCAGCTTTATATCATTGTGTTTATCAGCATTATATCATTGTGTATATCAGCATTATATCATTGTGTATATCAGCGTTATATCATTGAGTATATCAGCATTATATCATTGTGTATATCAGCATTATATCATTATGTATATCAGCATTATATCATTATGTATATCAGCATTATATCATTATGTATATCAGCTTTATATCGTTGTGTATATAAGCTTTATATCATTGTGTATATCAGCTTTATATCATTGTGTTTATCAGCATTATATCATTGTGTATATCAGCATTATATCATTGTGTATATCAGCGTTATATCATGGTGTATATCAGCGTTATATCATTGAGTATATCAGCTATATTTCATTGCTTCCCCCCAAACCCCCACCCCCTACATATAATACGGGATTGTGTATGGTACTCCAGCTGCAAAACCAGATATATATTCTAAATTAAAACTATATCCTAAATATTGTTGTTTTTGTTTTTTATACTTAATCTTGCAACAATGTATTCTTGTGTGCAGACAATTTGTATTCCCACGGCCTGAAGCATAATTATTTGTTTCATGCAATATCAGCGGGACAATTCATTGTTTTCGATAAAATCACAGCCAAATGGTCGGTCCCTAATAACTCACTAACAACGTATTTCTATATGCCCACACGTCAGTGTTAATGAAGTGTATATATCAGGTTATAACTTAGTGTGGAATATAGAAACTCACATTAAAATATCTATACTAGAATAAGTGCACTTGATGAGACTGAAGTTAACTCGACACTTAATCTATCTACCGCCTGTAAAGAATAACAAGACTATACACGTTAACACACTGGTGTGACGTCATGACACAAAGGAACACAAGGTACAAATTTTCAATTGTGAAACATTGTTAGTCTTGAAACCCCACTTACTGTTGGAAGAGTTAATAAAAGATTAAAAGAACACTACCCATTATTTTTTATTCCAGACATGATATAATCTGGCCGTTTTCACTTTGAATGACGGTGTCCCTATTAACGAGTTTCTGTTGTATACAAGTCACTGGACCAGTGAATGGTTGTAGGGACAAAGGTGTGTTCACGTGGAAGCACCTGCACGTGTATGGTAATGGAATCAGTTCAGAGGACAACAGTATTAATGAGGACGTGACCCTCACCTTGGCCGGATAATATGAAGTAGAAGTTTTCAGCGTAGTGACCTTGACGGATGATGATCCTCTTTGGTGGGATTCTGCAAATTTATGCACAAAATTTAGATAACCAGTTTATAACAAACCTGTACATCGAGGCGTATAATCGACCTACATTACACATCTTTTGAAATACGCTCGTTACAAAACGCATCTAACACATCTGACTCGTTCAGCAATCTCTGTTTCCATCAAACACATCCATGCTATCATCGCCAGTCACCAGCATTTATCAAAAGTGAGTGAGTGAGTTCGGTTTAACGCCGCTTTTAACAGTATTCCAGTTATATCACGGCGTGTCAGCTTAATGTGGGAGGAAATCCTGAAGTGATGCAGGTCTCAGACGTTTACCACTTCGGTGAAACCCACGAGCACGGTTTTGTAGCTGACAAACCTAGAAACATAATCGGGGCGAACCGGGATTCGAACCCACAATCATAAGTTTCTGGCGTGCCCAAGGGACGCAACTCTGCACAGCGAATCGCGGCGCCTTAGACGACTGGGCCACCCGTTCCCCTCTCAAGAGTGAATGACCTGAGTGATATTCAGGAAGTCCAGAGAACAGGAATGCCCACGAGTACATGGTGCTGGCGTATCGATAACGTGCCGTCGAATACAGTGAAAACCTCTTAACCGGACATTCTCGTTCCTATTTAAGACGTCCGGATCAGGAATCATATGAGTAATGTCTCATGAATCATTGGTACGCACGGAGTAATGTCCCTTGAATCATTGGTGCGGACAGAGTTATGCCAGTCAAACGCATTTGCGGTCTGATGGTGGGCCGATACAATTATCTGATACCGATGTCAGCCAGCACTGCCGATCATATACCAGCATCGGCCGATAAGGTTGTGCTTGCTGGTCTATCACCATAGCAACAAAAGCTCTCCTCCCACAAAGACCATTTTATTTACTTTTTTACACCAGCCGACCTGAAGCGGAGAAGAAAACTATTTTTAAAAATCATTTTTTTGGTGCTTTTTTACTCCCACCTACCCACAGGCATTGTCCTGTACAAAATCCGTAAGCAAGTAAAAGAAAGTGGCCTTAGTAGGTGTCCGTTGTCATAGCTACACAAATATGGCCCTGTGAGGCGAGGATGGTGCACTTACACTTCATACCACGCCACCTTGGCCAGCTTCTCCTGCATGTGGAGGGGGTATTCAGCGAAGGACCGAAGACTCTGGAGCCCGAACATCGCCTGCCGTATAAAAAACGTCAACAACACTCAATCTTTATATTCATCAACTGTGGACAGGGATATGCTTATCATTCATAAGACGCCAAAATGACTTAAACTCCAAATGTACACTGACCGTCTGAACCTGCTCCGAGGAACGCTCATCTGACGGGAGACTGAGGATGTGTTTCACCTCGTTGCTGATGGAGATCTGGAAACACACGACGTCGCCGGGCATGAGGGAATTAACACTTACCAAGTTGTCATTATCATATAAGAAACTGGTACACTGACAGATATTCATTTATAAAGAACAGTTTTTGTTCCCGTCATTCAACTTCCCATGTTAAGCAATTATTCATAAATAAAAGTGTGCACCGTATTCAAATTAGATTTGACCAACATTAATATCTAAAACTTGATGGATGACAGGAGGCTGAATGAACACTTGTGCACTGTGACGCACATAAACAATTCACTCTAAAGAACAGACTTTATAGAAACTGTCACATATGAATTGAAGTAATGCAAGGTGAAGGTCGTACCTCCTTCCTAGCCTTGAAGTAGGAGGGGTCGAAGGACAGGCCGGAGTTCTTCATGTTGCTGTCGTCGCTCTCGCCCGCCATGTCGGTAAACGTCTGCGGACGTCCCCCCTCACCAGCCCTGGAGAGATAAACACAAACTGAACGCTGTACATCTCAAATATGTGTATCCCCCCGAGGTCACCATGTCGCCGATCTTGATTTAACCCCTGCACATACGTCATCTTAAATGAACTAACATTTTGAACTAACCCCTACAATAACGTCATCTTAAATGCCTGTATCGCCGAGGTCACCACGTCATCCATTTTGAACTAACCCCTACAATAAAGTCATCTTAAATGCCTGTATCGCCGAGGTCACCGTCATCCATTTTGAACTAACCCCTACAATAACGTCATCTTAAATACCTGTATCGCCGAGGTCACCGTCATCCATTTTGAACTAACCCCTACAATAACGTCATCTTAAATGCCTGTATCGCCGAGGTCACCGTAATCCATTTTGAACTAACCCCTACAATAACGTCATCTTAAATGCACCGTGAACTACTGACAGGACGTGTAAGTAAGTCACGTGATTGTTGACCTCACACAGGAATACGTCCGAGTACACTGTCCTGGTTAAATTTGAATCAGGTCGTTCAAACATCATTTTGATTGTGCTGCTGACTAAAATTATATCATGTATGTGATGTGTGCCATAGCGTTTTTTTAACATGAAAACATTTAAGTATTTAGTCAACAGAAAACCATATTTACAGACTGTTTATGTTTTAATGCACTATGCAGTTGCTTTATAGGGATCTAGCCAATAGGGTATGTTTGTTTGTTAACGCCGCACTCAGCAATATTCCAGCTATATGACGGTGGTCTGTAAATAATCGAGTATAGACCAGACAATCCAGTGACTGACATCATGAGCATCAACCAAGTAAGTCAGCGAGCTTGACCACACGATCCCGTTAGTCACGGGGTGTTTATATACACTATAACGCTGGTGTGTGCAGATATGATCGTATATAAGTCACGTGTTACATTCGGTCTTCCAGCCTGTGGGTATCGCTCGATGGCTTCCTGTAAATGCAACCATCCAGTCGTGCACTTACTTCTGTGATATCATGGATGCTATGTTGCGCATGATCATCATCAACTTCACCGCCTTGATGAATTTGTCCCTCACCTGCAACAGCAATGTGCGAGTTAGCCCAGACAGTGTATACAGTATTTCCCCCTAGTGGGTTAGCCCAAGTGTAAAGACAGTGTATACAGTATTTCCCCCTGGTGAGTTAGCCCAAGTGTAAAAACAGTGTATACAGTATTTCCCCATAGGGAGTTAGCCCAAGTGTAAAAACAGTATATACAGTATTTCCCCATAGTAGGTTAGCCCAAGTGTAAAGACAGTGTATACAGTATTTCCCCCTGGTGAGTTAGCCCAAGTGTAAAAACAGTGTATACAGTATTTCCCCATAGGGAGTTAGCCCAAGTGTAAAAACAGTATATACAGTATTTCCCCATAGTAGGTTAGCCCAAGTGTAAAGACAGTGTATACAGTATTTCCCCCTGGTGAGTTAGCCCAAGTGTAAAAACAGTGTATACAGTATTTCCCCATAGTGAGTTAGCCCAAGTGTAAAGACAGTGTATACAGTATTTCCCCCTGGTGAGTTAGCCCAAGTGTAAAAACAGTGTATACAGTATTTCCCCATAGTGAGTTAGCCCACGTGTAAAAACAGTGTATACAGTATTTCCCCATAGTGAGTTAGCCCAAGTGTAAAGACAGTGTATACAGTATTTCCCCATAGTGAGTTAGCCCACGTGTAAAAACAGTGTATACAGTATTTCCCCATAGTGAGTTAGCCCAAGTGTAAAAACAGTGTATACAGTATTTCCCCCTGGCGAGTTAGCCCACGTGTAAAAACAGTGTATACAGTATTTCCCCATAGTGAGTTAGCCCAAGTGTTAAGACGGTGTATACAGTATTTCCCCCTGGTGAGTTAGCCCAAGTGTAAAGACAGAGTATACAGTATTTCCCCCTGGTGAGTTAGCCCAAGTGTAAAGACGGTGTATACAGTATTTCCCCCTGGTGAGTTAGCCCAAGTGTAAACACAGAGTATACAGTATTTCCGCCTGGTGAGTTAGCCCAAGTGTAAAGACGGTGTATACAGTATTTCCGCCTGGTGAGTTAGCCCAAGTGTAAAGACGGTGTATACAGTATTTCCCCCTGGTGAGTTAGCCCAAGTGTAAACACAGAGTATACAGTATTTCCGCCTGGTGAGTTAGCCCAAGTGTAAAGACGGTGTATACAGTATTTCCCCCTGGTGAGTTAGCCCAAGTGTAAAAACAGTGTATACAGTATTTCCACCTGGTGAGTTAGCCCAAGTGTAAAGACTGTGTATACAGTATTCCCCAATAGTGAGTTAGCCCAAGTGTAAAGACGGTGTATACAGTATTCCCCCCTAGTGAGTTAGCCCAAGTGTAAAGACGGTGTATACAGTATTTCCCCCTGGCGAGTTAGCCCAAGTGTAAAGACAGAGTATACAGTATTTCCCCCTAGTGAGTTAGCCCAAGTGTAAAGACGGTGTATACAGTATTTTCCCCTGGTGAGTTAGCCCAAGTGTAAAGACGGTGTATACAGTATTTTCCCCTGGTGAGTTAGCCCAAGTGTAAAGACGGTGTATACAGTATTTCCCCCTGGTGAGTTAGCCCAAGTGTAAAGACGGTGTATACAGTATTTTCCCCTGGTGAGTTAGCCCAAGTGTAAAGACAGAGTATACAGTATTTCCCCCTGGTGAGTTAGCCCAAGTGTAAAGACAGAGTATACAGTATTTCCGCCTGGTGAGTTAGCCCAAGTGTAAAGGCGGTGTATACAGTATTTCCCCATAGTATGTAAACAGTATTTCCCCCTAGTATGTCCGGGTATCATAAGAGGGTTGGCGCGGGTTAGGGGATCAACACCAGGGTGGATACTGGTGCCGGGCACCTAAGGGGCATACCTCTGCATAATGGAATGTGCAACAAGAAAGATTTGTATTTTGAAAATATATTCGTAATAGGTTAAATACATCGCAATATCGAAATAAGAATCTACATGTAGCACGCAGTTCAGTATGGTAGCTTAATGCCGGACGTCAAGTCGGCTTTGGTTTTGACGACCCTGATAATTATATCCTAATCGGATTCGTTCGTATGAAAGGTGTCAATTTTCTCCTTAACGATGGAACATAACTAGACAAACATTTTATATCGCTCACGAGCTTCAGAAATTATTTACCTCCCCGGGCGCATGTCTAACAGTCACGTGGTCTCCAAACACGCCGCCATCAATCTCCCGCCGACTGGTGACTATGGAGACAACGTCATGCATAGATCTACACTGGCGAACACGTCGACGTCCGTCACGAGCACGATGGTGTTTATCGTCACGAACAACATCATTCAACCCAACCCATTTTGCACTTGACAAGGGAGGTAATCTTTTTGTAGCTGAAGAAAATTCACCCGATTCAGATAAAGAACTTTTAAGGTCAAGGTCATTTTTATGATCTTCATCCAAGGAAGAGAACTCAGCTCCAACATATTCCCTTTCCGCGATTGGTTCTAGGAACGGTTCACGAACGGGTTTCCGTTTCCGTACTTCCGTGTGGTGAGACCCTTTTTCACAATCCGCGTCCGGTTTTAGTTCCGCATCCTCGGGCAGCTCATCCACGAATAGTTCTGGGTCTGTGAAGGTGTAACTGTCGATGGAGGGTAAGTACAAGCTCATGGCGCCGGACGTCTCCTTATTCGCACCCACTCCACGGGTTTACGGTTTCCTGAACATCTCTGAAACTGTTCCCAATGACGCCATCTTCCACTCGGTTATCCAGCCGAACCTCAGCTCTCTAGTAAGCAGCTATGCCGTCCAGTATACTGTGTAGCGCTGTCCAGACGTGGTCAAAGTTTGACCGTTTAGTTGACCTGGTTCAGTTATAACGCTCATCTGTTGATGGACCAGTGGCTTTCCTTGATGACGTTTAGCCCCACCACGATTCAGGGGTTAATAATGAGTCGTGCACGACGTACGGTAGGACGTACACGTCATGCTATACAACGCAGTGCAGACCCGAGAGAAAATCCTTGAGAGGACATCTCGTCATTTACTACCACCACGTTAGGCAGATGTCTCTATACACTGGTATGTAGTGGATATACCAGATTTAGTACTGTCCTCTTGTGACGTCCACCTGTGTTTATGCACTATAACACATCACCAGTGCTGTAGAGTGCATGTACCAGCCAACGGTCCACTCGCCACGCCCTCTCGCTTTCCCACGTATCTAACGCCAACGTTCACGTCAAACAGAAAAGAACAAACATTTACCTCCCACTACGCCAAGAGAATGGGCGTCTTTACCAGGTGAAATGGCGAGCCTCAGTCTGCACACAATGCGCTGGACTCGGTCAACAAGCCCTTATTAAGTTCAGTATCACTTGACTCGGAGTCCATAACGTACGCTTTGATACGCCGAAATAATGTGAATCTATTCACCTCTGGCCCGGCTTTGTGACGGCTGTGAAATGATAGAACACGTTTTGCAATGTTCCACTGTGGCTGAAGAACTATCTTGTTCTGAAACAGCCTTGTTGTCGTCGACTCGCGGCATTCTGTTCCCTGGTAACTTAATTCTTCACACACTGCGAAAAATGACAAGTGTAATAAATGGTCATAATATAATTATTTCGGGAAGCACAGAATCACTACCAGCCTAGGAGGTCGATCGTAAACTGTGTATTTTTATGCATTATCGATGCCTGGCACTGTGTTATGATTCACTTTCATTTAAGTGTTCTCACGTCTTCAGGGCTACCCATTTACCACAGAAATAGTTTTCAACTTGCCAGTCCATTCCAACAGTTTGTGTGTGCACGGAGCGGCCGTGAGAGGGTGAGAGTTTGCAGAACCATCCCTCCTACCCGTGGCATTGGCGGCAGTCATTTGTGCAGTTTATCTGAAACATTGTCTGTATTGCCGCTTGTAACAGCCAGTATCGATCCTAAGATCAATTCACACCGAACAATTCGCACATTCTACGATCTCCGTCCATCAAATCGGTATTTTTATGCACTGTGCGGAGTTACAGGCAATTGTTGAGAGGAACCCTAATCTCCCGTTACGACGGAATCACACAACGCATTGATGTAAGGTAGAATCAGTAGGTGTGTGGCGTTACAACGGAATCACACAACGCATTGATGTAAGGTAGAATCAGCAGATGTGTGGCGTTACGACGGAATCACACAAAGCATTGATGTAAGGTAGAATCAGTAGGTGTGTGGCGTTACGACGGAATCACACAACGCATTGATGTAAGGTAGAATCAGTAGGTGTGTGGCGTTACGACGGAATCACACAAAGCATTGATGTAAGGTAGAATCAGTAGGTGTGTGGCGTTACGACGGAATCACACAACGCATTGATGTAAGGTAGAATCAGTAGGTGTGTGGCGTTACGACGGAATCACACAAAGCATTGATGTAAGGTAGAATCAGTAGGTGTGTGGCGTTACGACGGAATCACACAACGCATTGATGTAAGGTAGAATCAGTAGGTGTGTGGCGTTACGACGGAATCACACAAAGCATTGATGTAAGGTAGAATCAGTAGGTGTGTGGCGTTACGACGGAATCACACAACGCACTGATGTAAGGTAGAATCAGTAGGTGTGTGGCGTTACGACGGAATCACACAACGCATTGATGTAAGGTAGAATCAGTAGACATGTGGCGTTACGACGGAATCACACAACGCATTGATGTAAGGTAGAATCAGTAGGTGTGTGGCGTTACGACGGAATCACACAACGCATTGATGTAAGGTAGAATCAGTAGGTGTGTGGCGTTACGACGGAATCACACAAAGCATTGATGTAAGGTAGAATCAGCAGGTGTGTGGCGTTACGACGGAATCACACAACGCATTGATGTAAGGTAGAATCAGTAGGTGTGTGGCGTTACGACGGAATCACACAACGCATTGATGTAAGGTAGAATCAGCAGGTGTGTGGCGTTACGACGGAATCACACAACGCATTGATGTAAGGTAGAATCAGTAGGTGTGTGGCGTTACGACGGAATCACACAAAACATTGATGTAAGGTAGAATCAGTAGGTGTGTGGCGTTACGACGGAATCACACAACGCATT